GTTTTTAACGTTCAATGGTTATTAGTTCCACCTCCTTAGGTACCCCGGTATTAGGTCCCCGACAGTGTCAATGCACGCTTTCAAAAAAGTCACAAAAAAAAAAAAAAACACATAGGACCAAAGGCAAATGCAAGATTAGCAATGTCTTAGGAAAGCCTTCCTTCTTTTCAATATCCTCTTTAGCTTTAGTGGGCATTTACAGTGTGTTTGATTTGAGGAATGAGCGAGTCCATCGTCTACTCATTCCTCACTTTTTTTGTTTGGTTTGTAGAATAAAATAGATTGATGCATCATTACCTCATTTCTCATCATAAATTAATAAAATATCACTAGTATAAAAATAGAGTTATTCCACCAAATTTTAAGAATGGACTCATGATGCACCATCTCATCTAGAAGCTTAGGATGGAGCGGATTCCTCAAACCAAACGTCATATTAACGGATGATAAGATACCCCGTACAATTTTAGAAGATGCATGTTCTTTTCAAATGTTCCACATGATATAAATAACTATTATTCTTATTCCTCTTTCCAAATGTGGAACAAACATCCTATATATTTAACGGGTGACAAGATACAATTTTAGAAGATGACTGTTCTTTTAAGATGTTCCACATGATATAAATATTCCCTCCGTACTAAAAATAGAGTCGTTTTGGATAAAGCTTGGGTCAAACTTTGGGAATATAAATCATGAATAACTTTTAAGTTGTTAAATTTGGAAATATGAAAGCCATATAAACAGATTTGTCTTGAAAAATACTTTCATAAAAATATACATATATCATTTTTTGATAAATATTTTTATAAAAACAAGAAGTCAAAGTAATACTTTGGACATCGTATCGCTGTTCAAAACGACTTTATTTTTTAGTATGGAGGGAGTAACTATTATTCTTATTCCTCTTTCCAAATATTCCACGTGGTATAAACGACTATCCCTATTAGTTATTTAGCTATGTCGTGTTGCTCAAATGAATTGCTTCCAAGAGAGAACTTGTTCAATTCTTTTCTCTTCTTTACTCGCCCTTTACAGGTGTGTGCATGCAACATGCAGCAGGGCCGGCCGGAATGCAAAGTGAAGCGGTATATTGACTATCGGATGTGTTCATCTACGTCGAATAATTTGGGTGAACAATGCTCGTCCGGGGCACCAAACTTGACAGACGAAAAAAACGAAGAACAGTTTCAATCCACACCCTAAATTACCGAATGTATCGGCATGCTTCCTAAGCGCTGCAGCTTAATGCCTTGAATACACAAATTAATACCTGTACAACACTTTCACACAGTCTTGTTTCGAGAACGTGTTCTGGGAACATTTCGTTTCTCGTTTCGTGAACAATCACGCTCTCATTCTCATATAGTGTTAAAAATTACTAATCCATCCGTCCAAAAAAAACACATAATTCTAGCTTTGAACTTTGACACGCGTCGTGTCCATGTTCAAAGCTAGAATTATATTTTTTTCCTGAACGGAGGGAGTAGTATGGCCCCGCTCGGCTTGCTGAATCTTGGCTGAAACTGATTGAAAAACACTGTTCTAGCTGAATTGTTATGAGAGAAAAATATTGTTCCGGCTAAAAAACAAGCCAAACAAACTGAATATGGGGTAAGCCGAACGGGACCAGTAACATCGCTGCTAAGTTTTGGAGTTGAGCAGCCTGTTCGTTTGGCTATGGCTTATCGTAAACGATCGTAAATTTCTAGCTAGAATAGTATTTTTTTCTCACACAAACCAATCAACACTACTTTTTCACAAACCAACAACGAACCAGCCAACAAAAACATGCCGGATCAGAGAAGCCTACTTACTACGTAAACCTCAGAGCCACCCACACGGCCACACGCCTGCTTATTTAATTACTGACATAATAAGTACCTTTCTACTGTACAAAGTTACAGGAAGCTATGGTCTTCCTTAGTTCTTAAACTTTGGGGTGGCAAAATTTCTGTAGTCATAGCATTTCGTTTATATTTGATAATAATTGTCCAACCGTTGACTAATTAGGTTCAAAATATTCATCTCGCAAAGTACAACTAAACTGTGCAATTAATTTTTGATTTCATCTACATTTAGTACTTCATGTATGTACCGCAAGTTTGATGTAACGGTGAATCTTCTTTTTCCAATATGTATTTTTCCGGAGTTTTGAAGTAACTAAACATGACATGGCCTATATGTAATGCCTGTTCATCGGCCAAGCGCGCGAAGTCAAGAGATCACCGTTTGCATGCCTAGCTAGTTGTGGCTCCCTCCATGGCCACCGGAACCTTCTATCGGAGGGCCAGGCGGCGGCGGCGGCGCCAACACCTGAGTGGCCACCTCCTGCACGTACAAGTACTGCAACGGTTGCACATCTACGCTCCGACCGGTTACAGTTACAGTACCGACAAATCAATAGGTGGTGAACTCGAACACTTACGCTGCCAGCCGCCTTGTCGTCGTCGTCGTCCCCGCCGCCCTCTCCTTCCTGCGGCGACGACTCCGCGTCCGCCGCAGCAGCAACGTCATCGGCAGCCGGCTTCGGGTCGTTGTTGTCGCTGCAGTAGCCGTGCAGCAGGCCCACCAGGCAGCCGGCGCAGGCGCGGAGCAGGAGCCGGAGCTGGAGCAGCGAGCACGGGTGCGCGAGGAGCGGCGCCGAGGCTTCTTCTTCAACCACCTCCACCTGCTCCTCCTTGATCACACCCGCGGTCAGCTTCGTACCCGCCGCCGTCGCGCTGATCCGTGGACGACTCTTCGTGGATGCCGTCCTGCACCGCCGCCGCTGCCGGCGCGTCGTCTTTGCGCTTGCGCCGATGATCCGACGATTCCTGGGACGGCTGGGAGCTATGCTCATCCTTCTCCCCGCGTTGATCCATTGCAGCTGCAGCCGCTCTAGCTAGCTAGACGCTGGGAGTTTCTGGACAGCGGAGTGGGGGACGGTGTCTCTAGCTCGTCAGTGACACTACTCATGTGTTTCCCTTTGTTCATCAACTTAGGGCCTGTTTAGATTCCAAAATTTTTTACGCAGTATTCATCACATCAAATCTTGCGGCACATGCATGGAGTACTAAATGTAGACGGAAAAAAAAACTAATTACATAGTTAGATGAGAAATCGAGAGACGAAACTTTCGAACCTAATTAGTACATAATTAGACACTAATTATCAATACAAACAAACATACTACAGTACTCAAAAACAAAAAATTTTAGCATCTAAACGCGGCCTTATTTGTGCACTGCACTCCCCTTTACTTTCCCCAGTTTCCGTGACGGGTGGGAAGTATCGGTGGACGGTGGGCTAGGTTTGTGACGGAAGGCCCAGAAGCGGCCACGCGGGCCAGAGGCACAATGCAGGCGACCCATGGACTGCTACGTACAGCAGCCAGCACATGACCCCCAACACGGGCCGGAAGGCCGTCTCGACCCGCCGCGCGCGCGCTCTTCCCCGTCCGTTAGTTCGCCGACCGTTTTTAGAGCAACCACAATAATATTACTCAGAAGCAGTCCACACTGACTAAAATATTATCCACTGGCTACTTGAAATACTATGAGATTAGTCCATAGTAAAAGATACCCATAAGTTTATGGGCTGTCCATAGTGAATAAAAAATGTTACTTTTTCTTACTCCCTCTCTCTTTCTTGATCTTGCACAGGATTGTGGGAACGAAACAATAGCGATGGACTTCTTTTTGTGAGTCCCATGTATCCGCACGTACACGGCACACGTATGTCGTCCTCGCGTACGCCCGGCGCAGCTGCGCGCGCGTGTAGTTCAAAAGTAGTTTGGCCATGGGGCAGGGCAAGGCCGTCGGGAACAATGCATGGTGGGCTGGTGGCCGCGTGGAACCAGCGGGGGAGCAACCTACGTATGTACGCACACGTACCGCAGGCAAAGTTTGCACAAATGTAAGGTCACGACTCACGAGCCCGGTCGTTGGGAGGAGATTTAGGCGCTGTCGTTTCTTCTGTTTGCCTATTATTTCTGCACATTTCCTATCCTACATGTGCCTGAAAGTGAAGACGATGGACTACTAGCAAGGGAAAAGGTGTACGGCAAGGGTTGAGAATGATTACTGATCGTTGGATTTAGACTAGATGGATGGTGTTTGTCGCCTCAAAAGAATGTAAAAATCAGGCGCCTGTTATTTAGCAACTCCCTTATTTCTGCCCTCGGTATGCTTACCTTGTGTCTTTATTTAGCCCCTGTCGTTTTCGTTTCTAAAAACATCCGACCTGCCCCAAGGTGATTTCATCGGATCATTTGCCAACAAATAAAAGGTGTGAATCCAGACATATTCATACAGTCATAATTCAAACATCATCCTTACCTAGTTCAGTTGTTCTTTGTTTTTTACTCGACCGTGTGTGCCGCCGCATGCAGCAGGCATGCAACCAAACCGGTCAATCGACTATCGACTATAGGTCCTGTTCGGCGTACCCAGAAGCCGGTTTGTTCGGCTTTTTTTAGTCGGAACAGTATTTTCCTCTCCCAACAATTCAGCAAGAACGGTATTTTTAGCCAGTTTAAAGCCAGCCGAACGGGGCCTATATATCTCATCTGCTCATGATCTACCTCAAATCATTCTGTAAACAATCGCTCAAACACTCCTTCGGGCACCAAACTTGACAGACGGTAAAAAGGAAACAGTTTCAATCCACACCCAGCAGCAAATAAGTTGCCAATGTAATATGCTTCTTAAGTACTGGCGTACTGCAGCTTAATTTCTTGAACACATTTAATTAGCAAACTATACAACACTTCGACACAGTCTTGTTTGGAGTTCAGATCATCGAGAAGCCTACGTAAACCTCAGAGCCACATGCGCCCACACGGGTACTAGCAGTACGTATTTGCTATAACGTACTTTCTAGAAAGTTACAAGAAAGCTACGTACGTACTTGGAATAAGTAGAGATGGACATAGATGTTCGTCACTTGGCCACCACCAAAGCTAGCTGCCCATACATCGGCCAAGCGAAGAACGAAGGCAAGAGATGAACCGTTGCCTACTAGTGGTGGCTCCCTCCATTGCCACCGGAACCTTCTATCAGACGGCCGGGCGGCGACGGCCTCCTCCTCACTGCCCACACCTGAGTGACCACCTCCTGCATGTACAAGGTTGCATATTTGCACGAGCGAGCTCGTTAACGAGCTCCGACCGGTTACCGTGTACCGACAAATCAAGCGGTGGTCTCGAACACTTACGCTAGCCGCCTTGTCGCCGTTGCCCTGATGATCTCCTTCCTGCGGCGACTCCGCGGCAGCCGCCGCCGCTCCAGGCGCAGCAACGACGTCGGTACCGGTGGCGGCAGCCGGCTTCGGGTCGTCGTCGTCGCTGCAGTAGCCGCGCAGGCCCAGGCAGCCGGCGCAGGCGCGGAGCAGGAGCTGGAGCAGCGAGCACCTCCATGGGTGCGCGAGGAGCGGCGGCGCCGAGGCTTCTTCAGAGCCGCCGACCACCACCACCTCGACCTCCTTGAGCACACCCGCGGTCTCCTCCTCCGCTTCTTCGTACCCGTCGTCGCGCTGATGATCCATGGACTCTCCGTGGTTGTTCATGCCCGGCCCCTCCGCCGCCGCGTCGACGTCGTCTTTGCGCCGATTATCCGACGAATCCTCGGAGCTGTGCGCCTCCTTCTGCCCCGCCCGCTGATCCATCGCACCTTTGGAGATTGATTGACGACGCTGACCTCAGTTGTGCTTCTTGCCTTTGTCCCCAGCTCTCAGCGCGCAGCCGCTCTAGCTAGACGCTGGGAGTTTCTGGAGAGCGTAGTTGGGAAGTCAGTGACACTCTCCTGATTCCCTTTGCTCATCAACTTTTTTGTTCACTTCCCTTTTACTTTCCGGGAGGTCTCCCTTTCCTGAGGTCTGAGGCAGTGAGGCTCAGCTAGCTGAGACTGAGGATGCTGATGATGCGTTCAGGGGTATTTACTCTTCCCCTCCGTGGCAGGTGGCACTCTGGCAGAGTCACACGGCATCGAGGGCACCAAATTTATCGCCTGTGGAACTGGGATAGGTGGGGGGCCACAAAGCATTGCCCGGAATGCCCCTGGATAGTTGGACCGGAAGGTACATCGTACAGGTACGTACTCGTACATGCAAATTACTCCTATGCATTGCTGATATCGTTTTCGTAAGCTCAGAGTTCGCTTGATGCCGGTGTACAGTTTACAGTGTACTCCATTGTGTATGATACATTGATACAGGAGTCTGTGCCTGGATTCCAGTAGCAGCAAGTCATCAGTCGGTCACTACACTTGCCAACAGCGTGTATATGCGAGCAATGTGTCGAGAGAGTGTAAACAACAGAAAGGCAGTCAGCAATGCAAGGGCAATCCTGTAAATGGCCAGCCTTGGTAGAATGGTAGGGTAGCCATGGCAGACGCTGGTAGGGCGGCCTTCTCCAGAGCAACAACAGAGGAAACCGACGCGGGCAGATGCGTTAACCAGCTGCCGAGGGCATTCAAACATACCTCACACCTACCCATGTTTAATGTCTACAGCGTCTCTGAGGACGTGAGGTTTTCAGTCGCGGTTGATACCTGACCGGTCAACATCTTGTCAGAATTATATACTCCTAGTAGATGTTGTTAGCTGGAGTGTATTCATCGCTGGGATACTGGATGCGCAAAGTTTGCATAGTGTCAGATTCCATATTCTAGCATTTTGTTTATATTTGATAATAATTGTTCAACTGTTGACTAATTAGGCTCAAAATGTTCGTCTCGCAAAGTACAACTAAACTGTACAATTAGTTTTTAATTTTGTCTACTTTTAGTATTCCATGCATATACCGTAAGTTTAATGTGACGGGAAATCTTCTTTTTCTTCTTCTGGCAGTATCCAGCCTCTTCGTTTCGGCTGAATTGGTTTATAAGCCATGACTAAAAATACTGCTGACTGGTTTGGTGTGAGAGAAAAATAATGTTCAAGCTGTAGATTATAAACCAGATACGAGCGAAGCGAATAAGCCGAAACCAACATGCTGATCAATATCACATTATATATTCTGTTAATACTGATCACCACCACCTCTCAGAATCGATTATTAGCTGGTGGAAATGTCATATGTGTCTCGTTGTGAACTGCTAGCTGCATGCAACCTGCAAGCTAGCCCTGCATGAGCTGCACGCTATCGCAAATCAGTGTAACGTCCCATGTGTAGGGCCTTGTTTGGATGGCAAGAGTTAGAAAAAGTTGGCACTGTAGCACTTTCGTTTGTATTTGATAATTATTGTCCAATCATGAACTAACTAGGCTCAAAAGATTCTTCTTGTAATTTACAATCAAACTGTGTAATTAATTATTTTTTATCTACATTTACTACTGCATGCATATGTCCCTAGATTCGATGTGATGAAGAGAGAGTGAAAAAACTTGGAACTTTGAAGCAATCTAAACAAGGCCTAGGTATTGATCTGATCTGACTGCACTGCACCAACTGTGCTCATGTTGACAACGATACGGTACGTGAAAGAGATTACCAGGCTACTCAGGATGTCAGGATGGTAGTACTAGCTGCCTTCGTCTTACTGGCAATGGCAACCAGCGTTTACTCCAGCCACGTCCTTCCCCGTCGTCGTCGTCGAGTGGTTGGAGTAGGAGAAGCAATAAAAGCGGCGCTGTGACGAGGCAACCGCGTTTCCGATGGGCTAGGCCGAAACCGCCAATCCGCTACTGGGGCCTCAAACTGGGCTCGGTTACGAGGAAGCATTTTGGGCCTCCATCCAACAAATCGCGCAGCTCAAATTGGTCGAGGGGGCAGCCCAGAATAGCGCCGCGGAGGATTCGGCTCGGCCGCCGCGGTGGCGCTTTTGGCGCCAGTGGCTCGTAACCACGCCAACGAGACGGGGCAGCAACCGCGACCGCATCAAAACACATCGCCATGCCTCCGTCCATGGGCAGCGCAGATCCACAGCCTCCGGCTATCCGTCGCGCTCGAAGCCGGCCGATCGGGGGAGCGCAGCGAGCGGGCCGCGCCGGCTGCCGCGCCACCACCGGTAGCCCAGGCCGCCGCCGCCGCCCAGCTCGTCTGCTCCCTCCTCCGTGATGGCCGACGTCGACGCGGACGCCAACAACGATCCCGAGCGCAGGACGCGCGCATCGTCCTCATCATCGGAGGCCGACGACAACAACGCGGCCAGCAAGACGCCCATCCCGCCGTGCCAGGCGTCAACGTGCCCGTCCCCGGCGCGCCACGCCGCGGGGCACGCGCTCGAGGAGCCGCCTCGGCGGAAGGCGCCGCACCGCCGGTCCCGTCCCGTGCGGATGTTCCAGAGCATGTGCCGGTCGCTCCCGCTGCTGAACCCGCGGTGCGGGGGGCAGATGCATCCCGGGGCGTGCCGGATCGCGCCGCCGTCGTCGTCGCGGCCCGCCACCGCACCGTCGTCGGACTCGAGCTCGCTGCTGTCGCAGCTCGTCGCGCATTCCTCCTTCGGCAGCGCCGCGTCGTCCCGGCACCGCCTCACGGGCACTCTCTTCGGCTACCGCGACGGCCGCGTGTCGCTGTCGCTGCAGCAGAACGCGCGGTGCCAGCCCACGCTGATCGTGGAGCTGGCGCTCCCGACGCACGCGCTGCTCCGCGAGCTCGGCGCCCACGCGGGCGCGCGCATCGTGCTGGAGGTCGAGAAGCGCGCGGAGCACGTCGGCGGTGACGCCAGCGCTGGCGTCCCCGACGGCAACGAGGCCATCGCCGCCGTCGGCGAGGGCGGCGGCACAAACGGTTTCAGGCACAGCCACGACGACGGGTGGGTGCTGGAGGAGCTCATGTGGACCATGTTCTGCAACGGCAAGAGGGTGGGGTACGCGGTGCGGCGGAAGCCCACCGAGGAGGACATCGCCGTGCTGGAGACGCTGTGGGCGGTCACCATGGGCGGCGGCGTGCTCCCCGGCAGGTCGGACGTGGACGGCCCCGACGGCGAGATGGCGTACATGCGCGGGAGCTTCGAGCACACCGTCGGATCCCGGGACTCGGAGTCGCTCTACATGGTCGGACCGCCCGGCAGCGACTGCCCGGAGCTCGCCATCTTCTTCGTTAGGCTATGAACGAACGAACGTACGAACTACAGTGTACACGTCGCGCTCGTGGTGTCTAATCTCTCTCTCTCTCTCTCTCTCTTGTCTGGTCTCGTCCGTTGTTCAGCCTCAGGCAGCGTCGTCAGAAATATTCATTGCCCCATCAAAAGATTACTGTATCACGCAAAAACAGAACACGAAATGACAGGTCACGTCGTCGATGGACCACCACGGACATGTATAACCTGCAGAGCGCAGCAGCACTGCATGCCGCAGGGGGCATCGGCTAGCACTAGCAGTCGCCTGCTCCCTGCTCCCTGCTGCCGGCCGGCTGTGCCTGTGCCTGGGCTCTGCATGCATGAACCGATCGAAACGATGCACGCATACAGAGGCGCTGCACAGTGGTGGACGAACGACGGACGTGCACACTGCACACCTTCGGCAGCAGCGAGCATTCATCAGTCACGAGCATAGTTTAACAGTTTATGTCACGTGGTTCCATGAAACGATGCACGGCTTCCCACGAATACAAAACGCTCGCGCGCGCGAAACGCACGGCGGCGGCCGGGGCATCGACGGACAGGCAGTTTAGCCCTGTTCATCTCGTGGATCGATCCACGATGGCTGGGCCTGGGGCTGGCCGGGGACGTACGCCACGTGCGGCGCGCAGTGCAGACTGCAGAGGCGCTCGGCTCAGACGCCGCCGCTGCCGCCGCCGCTGGCCGCTGCCCGTGCCCGGCTCGGCTTCTCCGTACGGTGCTCACCGTGCAGCGCCCGTGCCCGTGTGCCCTGCTGCGACTCAGCGACTGCAAGGATGTCGTCAGGTCAGCGTGCGCGCAAGTGCATGCATGGCGGGGAGGGAACACGCTGCACGGTAAAGCGAAGCGAAATCTCTGAAATCTGCAGTGGCCGCGACACGCATCACGTACGGTACGCTGCCGGTAAAGCGTACCAGTAGTAGTACGTGCTGCTGCCTGCTGGAACCTGCTCCGTACTCATCCTCTACGTTTTTCGCCGCGGTGCATGCATGGGGCGTTATCAGGTGCAGAGATTCTTCAGATATGACATGATGATGCTCGCCTGTGGCATGGCATGCAGGGCGCCACACCGATGGACGGCGGCAGCGCTACTGCTACTGCACTGGGCAGTGGGCACTGCACGAGTGCACGTCCATCTACGAGCACATGGGTGCTCACAGACAGCTCAGCGCTTGTCGTTGCACGTTTTCACTTTCACGTGCGTCCTGTGATGAACTGATGATGAGGCTCAGGCTGTCTCTGGGTTTGGTTTGTGTGACTGCTGCTCTCCTGCTGCCTGCTGGGTCCGTGCAAGCAGACCAGCGCTGCTCCTGCTCCTGTCACTGAATGGCTAGCTTCAAAGTTCAGATCGATAATCGCTGCACTTGCCTAAATGGTTTTGTGTTGTGTGTTGGTAATGGCAATTGGCAAGGGGGCGGGGGAAAGATTCTAGCCACTAGCCAGCTCCATCTCCATGCATGTTGTTATATGCCGCGCGCACCTAGCGCTGAAATTGAGGCTTGCACGGAACTAGACATGGCGCGTGCAGGGAGATTCTCGAGTCTTTTCGAGCCAGTCGACAGGCGTCAAAGGACAAGCCCTTTGCATGCAACACGCTCAGTCACT